TCTATAAAGGCATTGAACTCTATTCAATTTTACCTTAATTGTGCTTCATGTCTTTTCGTACCGTTTATCTTTGGCTTGTAGCTTTTGTTTGTTAGCTAGTTAGTTAGTTAGCCTATCACTATTACTACTAACTACTACTACTACTGCTACTAACTACTATTATACTGATGACATTGAGACAAAAAGAACCTAAGAATCTAAAGGGATGAAAATGTGAAGAATATTTTTGTGAACACACATTATTCTATCCCTACATTTTGTCATCATTCATTATGTAGAGGAAAAAAAACACGAAGAACAACGAGGAGAAGAAGAAGGAGAAGAAGAGGAAAGAGAAATAAGAGAAAAAAAGAAACATTCCTAGATCAAAGAAAGTTTATTCAACCATTGAACATTTAATCAAATAACCTACTCGATAAAATTGCATTTTAAAACAAGATTTGAACAAATAAATTAATTTATATATATATATATATATTTATATATTTAAACAAAAATGATAACAATTTGAGAAATATGTTTTTGAAAATTTTCGAATAATAATAAAAAAAAGAATTGAATAATTATTTTCAATTGTTCAATAGTGAATGAGTGAGTGAGTGATATATATATATATTTGAAATTCTTCAAGCGTTTTATAGATGACGTGATAATTTTTAAATTGGCTAAATTTATTGATCTTAATTCATCTTAATTCACAATGGAATGCGATCTTTATTATCTATCATTCAATGTTCAATGTTCACTGATGAATATTTGTTTAAATTCATTTGATATACAGTGTTACTGTTTTTAAAATAGTCTAGTAGAATATAAAATAATCAAATAGTTTATTAATGGTACTGCCAAGTATGTAAAAGTTTCCACAATGCTTCTCTGTCAGGTGTCATTTGGTTGGTGCATATTGTTGTGGTGTATCGAAAGATCTTGCTGTTTTCCTTTGTGTATGTTGAACACAGATTGCAGCAATGGCTACTCTCTTATACTGACTGACTGTCTTCTCTTGCATTCATTTTGTTGTGACTAGCAATAGAACAGTTAGATCATTTGTGAAGTTCAGATTGTCCAGCCACATCCGAGCTATCCGTTGGAACTCTTATATGGGACACATCAATAGTGCGCATTGAAGAATCCAAGTTTCTAATGGTGGCCTAACAATGATTTCTACATGATTTCAAGTTAAAGGTAACGTTTTTGTCAAAACAAAATGAAATTATTTGACTGAAAACTATCACAGTTTATTGTATTCGAACGAATGATACTGTGATGCTGTGATGCGAGCTACTTATAAGTAGTATATGACGTGAGTGTCAACGTAATGTCTGGCAGCAGAAGATCAAGGGGAAGATCAAGAAAGGAAGAGTTAGATAGAACACAATGGAATTTGTATGAAACGCATGAATAGTGACAATGGATTGATATTGTTTGCAACAGGAACAGTCCAGTTCGATATGATGAACTGAACTGAATTGCAAATGAACGATTGACGATATGATTTTCCGATTTTACTGAGTAACTCTGTAATTTTCGTTAAATACAATTCGGTTGCCCTCACCTGTGTTCTCGTTCACTACAATACAATTAATAGATTACATTATACTCGCTTATCAAATAAAAAACGTTAGTGAATTAACCTGTCATGATTTATCACAGTTTTGTCCAAATGGTTAGTGATCTGTTATTAAATAAAAATTTAAACCGGAAAAAAATCACTTAACCCATTTACTAACACAGTTCATTATGTAAGAATCAGAACAGAAATTATGTAAATTTACGATTAAGTAAGTTAATAAACATCGGTATAAATAGGACAAGTAAAGGTTCATTCGCCACGTAAATTATCGAATTTGTGTGTGAGCTGAAGTCATGCTCGGACACCCAAACTGAAACAAACAGGTGGCTTTCTTAGGAGACAGAGCCTAGTACGTTTGACCCTAAAGATCTAGTCCATAAGGCAGTAGAAAAACATAAAGAGATGCAGTTTCATGGTGGTCTATCACCAACAACAGTAGGTTCATGCGGTATTTGTTCCGTGAGGATCCCAAAAAAGTCTTTGTGCGCCACTGGTTGGGTATGAGGGTTCCCCACTACTGCCCTAGGTGGACCCAGCCAGACACACTCTGAAGTTCGTGAACAACACCCCTGTTACACGATACAATAATGAGTAGGACGTCCCTATCGGCTGCCATATACGTATGGCCTTATGAAACAGGTATAAACGAAACTAAATAGTCAGATTAGCAAACCATGTTACATTAGACTAACATTTCAAATTAAAACTCAACACATTAAATAGAGATGTTGAGAAATGTAAAAGGAATTGATTAGAATTGATTAGAGTGAATTTAGAGGCTTCATGAATATTTACAGTTCACAGAGATTAGGCTTACTTAGTTATATATACACTTATATAACTTCAACTACACATGGAAGAAGAGATGAATTCTACAGCAAGTCCACTTGAATTCTATGCATAAATTTGAAAATTAATTTCATGTCACTTCAGAGATCACTCACTGTTCATGAGATTGTAGCGTCTCACTATATTGGACTTCAGTGTGGACGAATGAATGATCGAGAGTATGTGATGAAATAAATCCTCCTTTCCACTTCCGTATATCACATACTTAGGCCAACCGCGTTTGTGCGACGGTAGTAATAAAAAAAACGCCAAATACGGTTTCTCGGATGAATTTATTTCATGCAATCCATTTGTGCAAACAAACGTGCGAAGGAAAACGAGATTACAAGCAAAACGAAGCGAATTTCGAGAAGGCTAATAAGCCAAATTCTCGAGATGAAGCATGACTAAGAATTTATAGTCAGACAAAAGTAAAACAGACATGTAACAGGCGAGATAGGCACAAATATATGCGCGTAGGCGTTTGGTAGTGTTCAGTCGTACCAGCTCATACAAAACCAATGGTACACATAAGTTGTTTCTATACAAATGGCTTAGTTAAATAAATTAATCGAAAGGGTTTAACCAAATTAAATGTAAGCGAACTCAAATACATGTGGAGGCATTACAAGATATCTTCTGAATGTTACACACTTTTTTCAGGTTTTGAAATCATGAATCGATTAATGTTCGACCATCATTAGAAACCTGGAAGCACTGCACGACGGCCATTTCGTCCTGGTATGGGACTCATCAGTGGCAGTGCGCATCCACGACTCCTACACCTCGAAAGATTCGAGCTCAGGACCTTCGGTTTTGCATGCGAACGCCTAAACTCTGGACCATTGAGCCTAACCATCTAACGGTGTTAATGTCTAACTTCGGTCAATTCACACAGTTGCACAACCTCATATTCAAATTTTTGAATCAGTTTTTTTTTCCTATTTCAGTGATTGCACAACTTAATTAGTTGATATATTTAAGTTATTTTAGTAAATAATAAATAATCAATCAAAAACTTCCTCAGATTGACTGGATCACTTCACTAAACTAGTGTGACTCTGAGTCAAACACTCCTTATCTATTCAAGAATGAGACAGACCATGATCACTGAGAGATCTTGGTTACAGTAATGAGGAAATACATTTGAAATCATCAATCAATCATTGTTAGACCACCATTAGAAACATGGAAGCACTGGACGGCCTTTTCGTCCTGGTATGGGACTCATCAGCAGTGCGCGTCCACGACTCCTGCTCCTCACAGGACTTGAACCCGGGACCCTTGGCATTGTAGGCGAACGCCTTACCATCGGACCACTGTACCGGCATCCAACGGTGTTAATGTCTAACTCTGATTAATCTAGGGATTTCGCGCGACCTCACCCATTTGTCTTTGGTAGTTACTGTGCCCCAAAATGAGGAAATAACTGAAAATTTCAATTCACTCATCAAATACTCACTAGTGAGTGGCTAGTTTTCCAAGGGAATTCTCGGAGCTCTAGTGACAAGTCGTGACTGGTGGAGTTCACTGCAATTAGGTTCGACATAGTTAACCATTGAAGACAATCATCGTTCATGGTCACCCATTATTTTTAAGTAGTTCAAGTTAAACATTAACACTGAGGAATTTTTTGGCTAAATTGTCAAGAGACTAACCATTTGCACCCTAGAACACTCGCTACTGACGACTTACGTTCCACAACGAAACGAGTCCTTCCATTGTTACCAGGTTTTCAATGATGGTTTAACGCTGATCAATTCATGATTTCAATGAAATTTTCTATTTAGCTGTCAATAATATTATTGATTTACAAGATACTTCTAGGTAAGCTAGAAACAACAATTCAATTATTACTTTCTATCAATAAAGATGGACATGTCTGTCTCTGTGTGTATATGTGTGTATTTGTGTGTGTATGTACATAAAGATTTAAAATTACCCTACATTTCTACCTCACTCTCATTCATTTTTACCTATATAATCGTCATCAAGGACTTTTTTCTTCCAAGGAAAAATTCTACTACTGACGAAATAACAACATCACAACAAACTGTTGGATTTATTAAACACAATTGGGGAACAGTTTATGTTTTTTTTGATTGCTTTACTTTAGTTAAAACAAAATAACACATACATATTGGTTATTTTCATTTGAAAGGTAGGGAAAATAACTTCCATTCATATGATTTGTTCTCCCTTTCCATTCTCTCTCTCTCTCTCAAGTTGAATTTTTCACTTTGTCCATATATATTTCATCTCATTTTTATGTCTTTCACTTGATAGAATATTTTAACCAATCAAAATTGAGCTACGCTCTTTGATAAATAATGTTGATTTTGGAGTTATATGATTGGTTGATTTAAAAATACAGAAAACAGAAGAGAACAGTACAGATTAATAGTTACTGGTGTTTGCGTTTATTTGAGGAATTAAGAAATTTCAGAAAACTCACATATATTATTGAAAATAATAATAGAAAGAACATTAACTTTGTATTCATTTGATTTGTATGAGCGATTTCATATTGACTTACTGAAGAAATTCAGGAATATTTATCATAAGTTTCTATTTTTTTTCCCCTTGAAATTCGTTGAAAATGAATACAACCGTATCGGAAGAAGGTAAGTATAAATTAAAAAATATTGTGCTTGTTTCTTCAGTTGGAAAATAGTGCGGATAATGATTATATATATATATGTGTGTAAAAGTTAACTGATGGGAAATTCATATGGTGTATCAGTTTTCTATGAATGTCATAATAACTATCGGCTACAATTGGAACCTTGATTTAAAAGAACCCTGGTCATTCACTTTCAGTTCGATAATATACAACGATGTAACACTGTAATGTCTAATTATCTAGACTAGACACTTACATTGTAACTTAGTGAATTAAACTCCACTATAACATTAATTCATGATTTCAGTGATAAAAATCAATCTCTAAAATGAAAAATCGTAAGGTGTGTTCACTGATGACTAGCTTCGTGAAGAAATTCTCAGTGTTCTAGTGAGAAGACACGACCAGTGGTGTTCACCCTTGTAAGGTGTAGGCAGTAATTACCAAAGACATTGGGTGAGGTTGCGCAAAATCCCTAGACATTAACTCCCTCGGATGTCACCGGCTCTATTGTCTGGAGGTTAAGCGTTCGCGTAAGAGACACAAGGTCTTGATTCGTTTCATTTCTGCTTCTGATTCTCAGTGTAGTTTGTTGTTCCTCGGGTACACTACTTTTCCTTTGATATTGAGGATTCCAAGCTAGCTAGGGCATGTCTTGTGACTGTTTGGTGACTTCCTCAATGTGTGTCTTATCAACTTTCTAAGCAAGAATGTGGTTTTTTTGTTTACCGCAGTAGATTGTCGCTGATTGTGTCTGGTCGACGGATTCACTTTATCTTGCATGGAGAATTGTACCTTTAGGATGATGGCTTTCTTAGTTCTCCAACTTTCTGCTCCATACACATTATAACTGTCTTAACATTTGTATTGAAAATTGTGACTTCGGTGTTGGTTGGCAATTGTTTTGAGTCGTAGATGGTCTTCATTAGTTTATTTATGAAGAAATTTTTATAAATCATTTTATTTTTATCTTGAAATCATGAATACACTGCACGTCTGTTTTGTCATCATATAGGACTCATCAGCAATGAGCATACACTACTCCCGCTACTCGCAGTATTCCAACCCAAGACCCTCGGTCTTGCATGTGAACGCTTGAATCTCTGGCCCACTGACCCGACCTCATCAAAGGGTGCTAATGTCTAACTTTATTTAATTAATCTAAGTATTTTGCTCAACCTTGCACACCCATTGTCTTCAGTAGTTACTGCTTACATCCGATAGGGTTGTTGAGCTTCACTGGTCACATCTTCTCATTTAATCTTTTAATCAATAAAAAAATCTATTCAACCCTTAATAAATCATTATCTTTCTTTTATTCTTCAGTTATTCACTCACCACTAATCAATCATGATGAGGCAGCATATCTTACAACAACTCCATTAATGTCTTCATTACCGAAACAGAACAAATCAACTATGTTAAATATACCAACATGTTTAACATGTATATCATATCCTCCTATCACATCTTCATCTTCATCTTGTTATTCTTGTTATTCTATTTCAACATCAAATAATAATTTAAAAAATACCACAATTCAATTATCAATAAATAATTCTATTCCATTTTCTTCTTATTATCATCATCATCATCACCACAATCAAAAGCAATTGAATTCATCAACTTTTAATCATAATGATAATAATAATTTGAATTGTAAATATCTAACCGATACAGTTCAATGTGATCAATATGATGATGATGATCAATATTCAATCAATGAACAATATAAAAAATTATGGAAACAATCCAATGAAACAATGAATCCTAATAATAATGATAATAATAATCATAATAATAATCAGTTGAATAATTTACAAGCATGGTTAAAATATCCTTTTGAAGAATATGATTTAAAATGTAGTAGTAATTCATCATTTTTAGGAACTACAATCAAATCATCGAAAGAGTAAGTTTGTTTTTACTTACTTACTTACTTATTTACTTACTTACGCCTGTTACCCCCAATGGAGCATAGGCCGCCCACCAGTTTTCTCCAACCAACTCTGTCCGGGGCTTCTGTCTCCAGTTCTGTCCAATGTTTGATCATTCCTCTCATATCTTTCTCTATTTCTCGGCGTAATGTATTCCTTGAACTTCCTCTTTTCCTTTTGCCTTCAGGGTTCCATGTGAGGGCTTGTCTCGAGACGCAGTTCGGTGCTTTTCATAGTGTATGTCCTATCCACTTCCACCGCTTCTTCCTGATTTCCTCCTCCACTGTAATCTGATTTTTTCTCTCCCACAGTACGTTGTTGCTGATGGTGTCTGGCCAACGAATCCGAAGTATTTTGCGTAGACAACTTGTATCTTCTGGATGATGGCTTTTGTATTTCCTCAAGTTTCCGCTCCATACAGTAGAACTGTCTTCACATTTGTATTGAATATGCTGATTTTGGTTTTTGTTGAAAGTTGTTTGGAGTTCCAGATATTTTTCAACTGTAGAAATGCAACCCTTGCTTTGCCGATCCGCGCCTTCACATCTGCATCGGATTCACCTTTCTCGTCGATGATGCTGCCAAGGCAAGTAAAGGTGTTGACGTCCTCCAAGGTGTGTCCATCAAGAGTGATTTGGTTGGTGCATGTTGTGTTGCATCGGAGAATTTTGCTCTTTCCTTTATGTATGTTGAGACCTACTGCTGCAGAGGCTGCTGATACACTGGTCGTTTTCTCTTGCATTTGTTGTTGCGTGTGCGATAGAAGAGCCAGGTCATCTGCGAAGTCCAGATCGTCCAGCTGCGTCCTAACTGTCCAGTTGATACCGTGCTTCCCTCCAGTCGATGACCAGGAGAAAGAGAAGGGGTGAGAGTAAGCAACCTTGCCTGACACCGGTCTTCACCTCGAAAGAGTCTGTTATCTGTCCTCCGTGCACGATTTTGTAGTTGAATCCATCATAAGAATTCTGTACGATGTTAACTATTTTCTCAGGCACACCGTAGTGTCGAAGAAGCCTCCACAGTGTTTTCCTATCCACGCTATCGAATGCTTTCTCGTAGTCGATGAAGTTGATGTAGAGTGGTGAGATGATTCTCTGATTATATCCATTGAAATGATGAATTGGTCAGTGATAGACTTGGAGGTACTTGGAGGTACTGGAAGACTAAAAGGTGTGTATCCCTCGCAATCGGGAACTAAACCAAGCAAGGGTCTCCGGTTATGTGTGCGGACGCTTAATCTCTGGATCACTAAGCCTGTAGTGTTAAAGGTGTTAATCTTTAATTCCAACCAACTCACCAAATATTCGTGACCATCATTCATAGCCTTTTATGAGTAACTTGCTCAGGCTAGAGATGGCTTCTCACTACTAGTGTGACATTTCACTTGAGAAGCTGGTCACTACTAATGAGAACATGATAGTTATAAAAATAAGGTCTGTTTCAGTCGCTAAGTGGATAACATGATGACACTCGGATTGAATCGTGGAGTGAAAACCAACTCTAACAAAAACAGGTACATCTAGTTGAAGAAATGTGTTTTTACTGGATTCCACTGCTCATCACACCGTATCTGTTCTGTAGAGTATTATGAGCATTGTGGAAATCATTGATCCAATGATTTAGTCAAATTTTAATTAGTGGTTAAAAGTATTCAATAACAGAATAGTATTAGATATTCATAGTTCATATGGAGGATATAATGATTTTGTAGTGAACGAGAACACAGGCGAGGGCAACTGAGTTGCATTTAACGAAAATTACAGAGTTACTCAGTAAAACCGGAAAACCATATAGTAAATCGTTCATTTGCAAAATATCAGTTCATCATATCGAACTGGACTGTTCCTGTTGCAAAACATCAATCGATTGTCACTATTCATACGTTTCATACAAATTCCATTGTGTTCTTCTAACTCTTCCTTTCTTGATCTTCCCTCATATTATGCTGCCAGACATTACGTTTACACTCACGTCATATACTACTTATAAGTAGCTCACACCACAATTTCAGTCTAGCTACCATTGAAAAAATAAGACTATATGCTTTACCTAGTCTGGTATGAGTTAATCTGTTTAAATGAAGTGAATATAAACTTCACAATTTCCTATAGATTGGAAGTGTGATTATTTTCGAATGTTATAAGTTTTTCTTACATCATAACAGACTGCACTGCACTGAACTGCAATGCACTAAATGGGACATGTCACCTTAGCAGGATAAAATGATATTTCTTATATGTCATAGGAAACTTTTCTTTATTCTTTTGTTTCAATTTTTTGTGTAAGTAATAATCCTTAGTGAGTACAGTGAATATTAGAAGCTTTAAGATGCGAATGATAATTTCTGCTTCATTCTGATTGATTGTTAAGTTCAATGTCTAAATTTACAACGTGACAATCAAATTTATTACACATTTGAAATCATCAATCAATCATTGTTAGACCACCATTAGAAACCTGGAAGCACTGGACGGCCTTTTCGTCCTGGTATGGGACTCATCAGCAGTGCGCATCCACGACTCCTGCTCCTCGCAGGACTCGAACCCGGGACCTTTGGCACTGTAGGCGAACGCCTTACCATCGGACCACTAGGCCGGCATCCAACGGTGTTAATGTCGAATTCTGATGAGTCCCATACCAGGATGAAACGGCCGTCCAGGGCTTCCAGGTTTCTAATGGTGGTCTAACAATGATTGATTGATGATTTAAAATGTGTAAAAAATCGCAAACCTCCAAAACTGTGCCCCAAAAAATCAAATTTATCCTTAGTCAATCGTATTTTCATATGATTACTTTATTTAAGATTTGGTGATTTAAATAGGAAAGCATGAATCGATTATTATAGTCAGACCACCACTAAGAAACCTAGAAGTACTGGAAAGCCGTTTTGTCTTCTTTGTATGGCACTCATCAAAACTGCGCGTATCCACGACCTTGGCATATGAGAATCGAACTCAATACTTGCGATCTCGTATGCGGGAGTTTAACCTCTAGAATATTCAGTGCTTTCAAGTTTCTAATGGTAGTCTAACGTTAATTATGAGCTCATGGTTTCAATGAAACTCAACAGTCTCTACAACTATATACTGACATTTATCATGTGCTAACTAGGGACTAACTTCATGAGGCATTTTTCAGAGTTCTAGTGAGAAGCTCTTTCCGAATGTGAAGCAGTTGCTCACCGAAGACAATGGATTAGATCACACTGTATTGTGGATTGGTTGGAGTTAATTAAATATTAACACCGTTAGATATCACCGGCTTACTCACTGGTCTAGCTAGAGGAGGTTAAGCATTCACATGCGAGACCGAAAGTTCTAGGTTAGATTCCTGGGCACAGGGATTATGGATGAGTATCATACAAGGACAAGATGATTATGTAATTGAACAGTATCTTTAATGTTGAATTTAAAGATGATCATCAGAACTTGTAAATTACAATGAATAACGTTTCTCTTTTTTTAAAAACATCACTCTTGTTCACTCATAATTCTAGTGAGAGAAACAGATTATTTGAAATTAAAAAGCATTTACATTCATGACTGTTAAAAATAACCAAACTTCTAGTGTGACTGTTAGACAATTTATTGACTGAAATCCAAGATTAGAGTTTTCTCATATTCCAAACTTTATACATTGTTTTCATGGATCATCGCGATTTATAACCAATGACGTTAAAGATTCGTCGTATTTCTAAGCTGATATTGTATAACCCTCTATACTAAGAATCCTTGGCCAATCAAATGCGACCATGTCGGTTTTTAGAGATTACCTATCGAAAATAATGGAATGTTGTTGTGGGTTGATTAAAACAAATGAATGCCCACGCAAAGTTTAAGCGGTCATACACGAAACCAAGTGTCTTGAGTTCGATTTTCGCATATGGGGAGTGGTGGACGTGCGCTATTGTAAAAGTCTCATACTTGAACGAAATGGACTTCTAGTACTCCTTGATTTTCACTGATGGTTTAACATTGATCAAGTGGATGACTTCAGCGAATCTAGCCTGTTTGTATTTTAATCTTAAATTAGTTATAAATGTCTTAGTGAATAATGTGATGGTCAAAGATGCAAGTGTCACACATATATTTCAGTCAATTTAACTGACGAGGTTTTCCAGTCTCATCATTTTACTTAAAATCCACACTCTAGCCTTCTGAGCATAATTTTAACATTATTTACGCATTGACTCCTTCATACCAAATGTTTTAAAGACATAAACAATATCAAACATTAATAAATTGTACAAAGGAAATTCATCATGAATACTTTTGTTTTAATTTGTCAATTACCATGACTCACTATCTATTTATCATCAATCTAAATGGGGGGGGGATTTTCGATTGCCAGAAAATCTTTATCAATAAGTCAGTTAAACAGCGAAGATTCAATATATTTGAAATCATCAATCAATCATTGTTAGACCACCATTAGAAACCTGGAAGCACTGAAAGACGGCCGTTTCGTCCTGGTATGGGACTCATCAGCAGTGCGCATCCACGACTCCTGCTCCTCGCAGGACTCGAACCCGGGACCCTCGGAATTGTAGGCGAACGCCTTACCATCGGACCACTGGGCCGGCATCGAACGGTGTTAATGTCTAACTCTGATTAATCTAGGGATTTCGCGCGACCTCACCCATTTATCTTTGGTAGAAGTTACTGCCTACACCCGACAGGGTTGAACTCCATTGGTCACGTCTTCTCAACTAGAATTCCGAGAATTTTCTCACGAAGCTAGTCACTAGAAAGTTAAAAAAGAAACCACATGGAAATCGAACATTACATTAAAATAAATCAATTCACATTCATCATATTGTGTACTGTTGGACTATCTAATTTTATTTATGACGACTAGTAACACTACTCATATTGAGCAGTAATTCATTCAAGATTGTAAGTCCACTTTGGTAAAATGTCCCAACCATTACAACACCTAGGTCTACCAAGGTTTTTTGTAGATGGCTTTCGACGATCTAACATTTTGAAATTCCTTAGCGTGTTGGCTATTACATATTTAGCATTCAAACTTCATCTACGTTCTTTTAAGCAACTGGTTAGTATTACTAGTTTCTATACTGAAGACAAGACGAAGAAGCTTTGGGAAGCATTATTAATAAACAAGATGGAACTAAAGCCAATGTAAAGACCCGGATTAGTAAAGCAACGAGCAGTATTTTTACAATGCAAGGACATTTGCAACTCAAAACAACCGCCAATCAACACCAAAGTCATAATTTTAAAAAAACAGACGTCAAGACAATTAATTCTACTGTATGGAGTGGAAACTTGGAGAATTAAGAAAAATAGCATTTAGAAGATACAGATGTTTCTTAACAGTTGTTTATGCAAGACGCTTCCGATCCATCGACCAGACACCATCAGCAAAATACTAATATGACAGAGAACAGATCCTCAGCTTCCAGATGATGAAGAAATTAGGAAAAGGCACTAGAGCTGATTAGGACACACCTTACAGAAATCATCCAGCTGCATCATAAGGCAAGCTCTGACTTCAAATCCTCAAAGCAAAACATTGAAGAAGGATTCAAAAGAACACAGTACACCGAGAATAGGAAACAGATATGAAGAGAATGAATAGCAGTTAAGTAGAACTGGAAAGGAAGGCTACGGATAGAGTAGCTTAGAGGACGTTGTTTGGTTACCTATACCCCATTAGAGGTAACATACTTCATTAAGTAAGTAAATAATACTGAAAATAAATGTGGGAAAGTGTTAGGATATTCATCAAATATCCTAAGAGAATTAGTGGTCAATTCCTATTGGTTAATTCCTACTGGTCAATTTTATGGTCGTCCTAGATATCAATGTCACTTCAAATGTTGCTTCCTATTGGTCGTCTTAACTGTCAATGTCACAGACTTCGATGTTGTTTCCTATTCGACCAAAATGTATAAATACGCATTATCTGTAACGTCTTATGATCAGGACCAGGACCGGGTCCCGGATCCCTAGTCCGGAATCCTGATTCTCTTCTGGATTCGGACCTCGTACTTTCTGGATGCTTGTAGAATACAGGTTCTACTTCATATCAAGTCTTCTTATTTTTACTCAATATGGGGGTTGGGATAATCGGATTTAAGTAGCATGTCGTGTTGCCAGATCCTCGAACCTCGCTTTCATTTTCCGAATAGGTAAACTCGTAATAGTTCAAGTATATCAAGTTGACGTGTTTGCGTGCAGGCTTAACAGAAAGCGAAGTATGAAAATAGTAGTACACTGAGTTATCAAGGCATTATGAATTCAGTATCAGATAAATAAAAATTTCAAACTGCAATTTCTCAAATGCAATGAAGACACATGTTGAAGGGTAACATTATTATTTCCTAATTTAAAAATCTTCATCATGTGTTCAGTCTTCTTTGAAATAATTCAATCAAAATCCCAGAAATCAATTTTTTCGATGGTGGAAAATATTCACACTCTGTAGAAATTTAATTCATCTCTCGTCTTCTGCCATTTAAGTTTTTCTAATAGGGGTTAAAAGAAAGTGAGAGGATTTTTCATAGCTAAACTAATAGGTTATTAGTCCGAACATACTGATTAAGTCATTTTTTAAAAAAACTTATTGTATGCCGCATATTAAAGATATGTTTAACTATCAAAGCCACATTTTATAAGGCAATCTGAGTAAATTTAACTTTATTTAAATAACTAGAACAGCTGAATTATTGTGGTGCGAGCTACTTATAAGTAGTATATGACGTGAGTGTAAATGTAATGTCTGGCAGCAGAAGATGGGGAAAGATCAAGAAAGGAAGAGTTAGAACACAATGGAATTTGTATGAAACGTATGAATAGTGACAATGGATTGATATTGTTTGCAACACGAACAGTCCAGTTCGATATGATGATGGACTGATATTTTTCAAATGAACGATTTACGATATGGGTTTCCTATTTTACTGAGTAACTCTGTAATTTTTGTTCAATACAATTCGGTTGCCTCACCTGTGTTCTTGTTCACTACATTATCTTTTACATATTTTTTTTAGTCGATAAGATCTGATTTCTCATCAACTTTCACTTCATCAGTAAAAATTAAGTTAGTTTAACTTTAATAAGTTTGCAATATGACGTGATGATGATCCCCAGTTGTCACTTATGATATCTTTCTCATTTGAACATAATATCAAATCACAAAACTCATCATGTATGTATACATAATTTTTCTACACTTAAAAATGCAATGATCACAGAAAGTTTAACAACATGGAACAGGATGTTCATATGATTATTGATCTGTGAAATTATACTTTGAATTTACCGATTTCTGTTGTCGCCACTTGATTTACAATCAGATATTTTGTTACGTTTATATAAAAAAAAGTAATCGAAAGTTACCATTCAGTCTATTACAAAGATGAGATTATATGAATGAATGCTGTTTGCGTAGTTTATGACAGAAACTATAAAATCTAATCATCACAAGTCCTTTATACTTTGATAAACATATAATTTGCTGTGGAGGTAGGATTCGAACCCACTCCCTTTAGGACTAGTGCCTTAAACCACCGCCTTGGACCGCTCGGCCACTCCACCCATTATATGGATACTAGTAAATAATTTTAGCAAGTAGTTCCTAGAGTTCCATTGAGAAGCCGTACCCAGTAGAGTTTAACCATGTAGGATGGTGGATAGTTAACTGTAGTGTGTGTGTACTAATACAATGAGCTCACATGACTTATCCTAGTTTTTAGATAAACTAATTAACCTTTCTTCCCCCGACCAACTAACTATTCGCACATCTTTTGACCTTGTCAATTATTCTCTTATATCTTGCTTGGTTTTATTTGTATGTATATGGATTGGTTACCTTCGCTTGTTACAAGTCTAGCTTATTTTTATCTAATTATTACTAGTAGCTAGTAGTCACATGTCGTCACATTGAATTGGCTGATTCGCGTTCTTCACTTCACTTCACTTCGCTTCGCTTCGCATTCTATTGTCTGTCTGCTTAGGTGAATATGTATGCAATAAATCTATCCAAAATAAAACTATATTGTACCTTTGATAACCACCATCTCATAAACGAGGTTCGTTTAAGAATAATATATATGGGAATTAGATAAGAGATTTACTGCATAGTATATTCATTTGTTCGTAAATATATAAGAGTCAGATCGAGGGCTCCAAATAAACAATCACTTTACTGTGAGACCTGAATGTTCTTGAGTTAGTTCTTGATATAGTCTTAGATGCTCACGATACAACTGTTTAGTACTACCAAAATTCCAACAACTGTCTAACTAAGAACAGTTCATGATTCTAAACGTAGAATTATAATTCAGTAAACGAGAACTTTCATTCAACCATTACACAGTAAGTATGAATGTCTAAATCTCTAATCTGAAAGCTTTTGTGATATTGTTATCATCAAGATTTTTGTTTAAAAAGAAAAAAACAATTGACAATTTTCCCTTTCTAATTATAGAGAGTTTACTACAAATTCCGAATCAATATTCAAAATCCCTACAACAAAAACAACACCAACAATCGGAACAACGAATGATATCATATTCAATCCAATAGAGTCATCATTTTCATCATCATTATCTCCTAGTACTGCTGAATGTATGAATATGAAATCTGTCAATAATAATAATGATAATAATAATAATAACAGTACGGAACACCTTAATGGTTATGAATTTCAACAATATCAACATAATCATCAACAGAATTCATTATTCAATCAACCACAAAACTCACATAAATTTACCAGAAATTCTTTTGACTACTTAAATACAAAAATAAGTAGTCAAACAATTCATACGGAAGAAAATAAAAAACAATCGAATAAAACTGAATTCTATAAACATTCTATGAAATATCATGGACATATTAAAAAACCATTAAATGCATTTATGTTATTTATGAAAGAAATGCGTTCACAAGTAATTGCTGAATGTACATTGAAAGAATCAGCTGCAATTAATCAAATTTTAGGTAGAAAATGGCATGCATTATCAAGTGAAGCACAAGCAAAATATTATAAATTAGCTAAACAAGAAAAAGAATTACATCAACGTTTATATCCTGGTTGGTCAGCTAGAGATAATTATGCTACACAAGTGAAACGTCGTAGTCGTGCAACTAAAATAAATCGTACTACAGTTACAACAACAATTTCATCATCAACAACAACAACAGCAGCTACACCGACATTGAAATTAATCACAGATTCCACTGTTATCGGTAATAATAATAATAATAATAATAATAATAATAATAGCTATGAAACAATTTACCATCCACGTAAAATCTATTCATCATTTCCTAATTCTGACATTTGGCATATAAATAATCATGAGAATGATAGTTTAAATATTAGTCATAATTGTACTACTACTAATAATCATATTAGTAGTAATAATTTTATGCAACAATTTTCAAATTCTAATTTATTACAAACATTGAATTCAACCAATCTACCACATACATATACTACTCCTTTCTACAGAAATGATACTACTCATTTAACACAAGAAAAAGCAACCAATATTACATTGACTGATTATGATCGATTATATAATGTCAATCAATTCATTACAACAACATGTTCACCAATGATGCATGATTATAATCATTTCACATTGAATATGATGAATAATAGTTCAATGGAATTGAACAATATTCAATCTTCCAATGCAGATCAATATTCTCATTTACAGTCGCTAAATAAATCAATAAAGACTGATTATGTTGTCCAGTCAATAATGGATTTAAATTATGGTAAATATTTTTTGTATAGTCTTAAATATTAGTTATGATTTGTGTAGACTACCTGATTGGGGGGTCACATGAGACAATCGTAATTGGTTGTTGTTACGGAATTTGAATGTCATGGCTCGAAATCGTTTTCACTGAAGCAGATGTTTCCATTGTTTCTCTTCTCTTATGAATTCCTCATGACGTCTTGTTTTTCTCTTTCTAAAATTATTTCATAGGGTTATATATACTTAGCTATACACTAGTGACCATTAAGCAAGCAATATATGGATTAAGGAATTGGATACTTAGTAAGGATGGCAAATCAACTGATAAAGTATTGATATCTTCATCAGTTGAGGTGGTCGGGATATGTTTTACGTTTGCCTAACCACCGACGACTACTACTTAGACGAGCTATGTTGTCTGAGGTAGAGGTAGGCTGAAAGAAAGCTAGGGGTGGCTAAACACAAACATGACACAAAACCATGAAGTCATTGACAACTGAATTGAGATATGTGAATAGGTTTAGACTACCTAGTTTGAATCGACGAGATCATGGTAACCGAAGGTTTAATACTTGGAATGACATTGCTGAAAATCGTTTGCAATGGTGCAGGTGCATCCATTGTTTGTGCTCTCTCAAATTCTAATCTTCTGAATTCCTCATGACCGGTTTTTTCTGTATTTAAATTTATTTCACTGGGTTAAACTCCGCGAATCATATCTTCAGTCCCAAATCTTTTCCGTTACTTGCAATACTGCTCCAAACTCTACTACTATGGAATTTGAACTGATGCACATACGTACCAAGCTCTACTTTGCGAATAAATGACTAATTTATCTGTGTAAACTGATCGTTAAAGTGCTATGAAAACTTTATTTGTGACTGAGTTTGATAGCTCAGTTTGTTAAGAAATAAAAACACAGGTTACTATGATAATTTATAATTAAAGCTTGTATAAACTGTTTGACTCTGTGATAATAGTTTACACTTGAATGAATGATTGAAAAACACATCTCCTGAATAATCACTATAAACCAATTGTTCACTTATTTTGCATTAGAGCATTATAGAGACGGTAGTTTTACCATGAAATAATGAGTGAATCATCTTTAGACCATCATTAGAAAGTTGGAAACACTGGACGGCGGTTTTGTCCTGGTATGGATGGGACTTATCAGCAGTGCATATTTACGACTCCTGTTACTCGCAGGATTTGAACCCAGAACCTTCGGTCTTGCGCGCGAACACCTAACCTCTGGATCACTGAGCTGGCATCCAGCCATGTTGATTGATATCTAATTCTGGTCAATCTAAGGATTTTGCTCAACCTCACCCATTTATTCAATAAAAGTGATTATTCTTACATTATATGATATACGATGATAATTACTGATTTCATGTAGACTAGAACGAGGTTTCAAGAGACCAGGAGTGACGTTTCGTGAACTCGCATCGTTTGCATTAGCGGTGCAGTCAGATAAGGGAATGTGAGTAGAGTTAGTTGTGGAGAGAAGAGAGGTATGTGTGGGTGTAGGAAGGATTTGATTCCGACCAATTTGGTCTCTCGTGCTGTTGCGGGTATGAGGACGGTTGTCACTTCCCGGCTGCCCACACCGTGGAAGGTTGTTTCTTGAGGGGCCTGAAAAGGACCTGAAAAGTGTTGGTCTTGGAGACCTTGGAGCGTGACCGCAGAGTCCAAGGGACAACTGCTTGAGGCCGGTCACGCACGGCCTTTTTATGAAAGGTATTTTCAGGATTAGCTCCGTTCTTAAAGGCCCTTAGTGGGCACCCTTACCCAAGGAGACGGAAATCAGTGAGGTAGGGTGAGGTGTGACATTTTTAGGGCCGACATTTTCTAACCCTTCCTTCTTTGTGAGAAGGCAGCATCACTGCAGATGCTGGTTGTCCGAGGGAAACACCTTACTGTTGTCACATCCCTCTGCAGTCAGCAGTACGAGTTCGCCCTCAGACCTGGGGTAGCTGCTTTTAGTCTCACCGTTCTCCAATCGACCAGCCTGGCATGGTAGGACCTGCAGGAACATATGTTCCAGCCAGTATAGCTCGGTTGGGTCATCACGACAGGCAAGCCCGACCACCACGTCAAGGTAGCAGCTACGGTCGGTCTAGTTTTGACTTTCTAAACTCTTCTCACTGAATCATACTTCTTGAATAATATCTTCTAATCCTAACCTCTCCGATTACTCTTAATACATTTACTACCTCTTCTACTATTGGATTTGAATTGACAATTACATCTCTGTGCTGATGTGGTATGGTAACATGAACTGATGTACTTACGTACGAAGTTCTACGTTGCATCTGACTGACTGACTGACTGATTTCATACAATCTCAACTGCATTTTTAATTTAGTCACTAATGAAAATTTAATGTTTTCTATAAAAAAAAATTTAGAAATTCAATATTTGGTAAATTTGAATAATTATTTCTTTCTCATACAGAACCTGCAATTCATTCAAATGACAATTCAATGGATCAAAATGTATCATTGAAATATTTAAACAAATCTGATAAGTAAGTTTTAAATTTTTTTTACGTAATTAGATTTTCTTTAGAAAATAAAGACTGCTTAACTAATAAACAGAGCTATGCTTACCTACTTACTTACTGAAGCCTTTTACCCCTAACGGAGCATGAGGCTCCGACCATTATCCTCCAATCTACTCTATCCTAGGCCTTCCTTTCCACTTCTATAACCAACTGCTGTTTAGTCTCTTATTGTCTGACTCCAATTCTCAGAGTAATATGTTCCTTGGTCCACCTTGTTCCCTTTGGCCTCGAGGATTCATTGTTGAGATTTGCCTAATGATGACACAGTTGGGTGCTTTCTTCAATAAATATCCTCCTATTCACCTCCAGTGCTTTTTCCTAATTTCTTACTCAGTTGAAATCTGGTTCTGTCATTTCCCACGGAAGGTTGTTGGTGATAGTTTTTAACCAATGGATGAGGGAGTATCGTATATAAACAATTATTCATGAACATTTGTATTTTGCAAGTGATGACTTCCATGGATCTCTAAGTTCATCTAACAATAGGTGTTTATGAAATGCAACTAAAAGTCAATAAAACAAGTATCGTATTATAAGATATGGTAGATGCTAAATTTATATATTAAGGATGAAATGATTAGTTATTACAATGTAAGAAATCTGAATTTCTATCGTACATTTCACACTGATTGACATTCATTCACAAGCTGTAGAATCGATGTTGAGGAAATTCATAATCTTGTCAGGATACACATCTATGTTACTTAGTTTTACGGAATCAAACCGTAGAATACAGCAAACTTTAGGTAATTTATGGTGGAGCACGATAAGCTTTACACAATGTCGTTGATAAGTGTGATGTCAGTGACCAAGGGTGACTGATTGACTAAAAGTTAAACATTCTTATGCGATACCAGAGGTCCTCAGTTCTATTTCCAATTGTGGTGTAGTAGATGCGCACTGCTAACGAGTACCATTTCAAAAATAAAACTGTATTGCAGTGTTTTCGATGGCTGCCTAACTTAGTATGGTTCATGAGATATTTTAACGATTTTCTAATTGACATTAGCTTATTTATAAGAATTACATACTTTCTTATTCTTACTAATAATCTAACTCAAAAATTCATGCCTTATTTAGATAGTTGAGAAAAATAATGAAACCTAATAAATATAGGGTTATGCAGTTGTTAAGGGCGTAATATTATTATAATTTGCATCGTAGAGTTTTGAAGATTTTTGAGTTTAATTGAAATCATGAACTGACTATTATTATTAGACCACCATTAGAAAACTGGAGACACTGAAAGGCCCTTTCTTCATAGAATGGGATTCATTAGAAGTGCTCATTCACGACCCCTAATCACTGAAATATAACCCGAGACCGATGCTCTCGTCCACGAATCTTAACCTCTGAACCCTGTGAGCCGCAAGCATCAAATAATGTGAATTTTAGTGGCTGCATTATATCCAAAGTAAGCTTCACAACCTTAGTGGACCGTTATCTGACTCCCATTTGGACGAACGATCGAATAGGCTTTAAAATAAATCTTCCCTTCAATTTCCGTATATATCATTCTCAGACGAACCCAGTTTTCGCGACAATGGTAATAAGAAGCCGAATACGGATTCAGTTGGATGAGTTTACTTCATGCAATTGTGTTGACACAGACAGACATGAGAATAAAAGGCTTACAAAAAAAGCGAAGTGAAGCGGAGAAGGTTGGTGAGCCTGTAGTGAACGAAAACACATGTGGGGCAACCGAATCGTGTTTAGCGGAATTACAGAGTTACTCAGTAAAATCGGAAAACCATATCGTAAATCGTTAATTTGCAAAATATCAGTTCATCATATCGAACTGGACTGTTCCTGTTGCAAACCACATCAATCCAATGTCACTGTTCATGCATTTCATACAAATTCCATTGTTTTCTAACACTTCCTTAAACTTAAAGTAATGGAGCATGACTAAATATTTATTGATAAAAATAGGCTAAACATGTAATAAGCGAAGTGAGCATACACACATACACATTCAAACAAAAACAACCAACCAATAATATTATCAGCAAATAATAGACAAGATCGAAAGACATGTGATTCAATCGAGAAGAAAGGGGTTTAATTAATTTCTCCAAAGGCTAGGGGACAAGCCTTGTGTGAGGAATCAAGATTTATGTATGCACACACTACAGAATGTCTAAATTATTCAATCACAAAGTATTGTGGGTTCGCAATGAAAACACTGGGTCTTGACTTCAATTCCCATGTGCAGATGTCGTGGATGCACACTGCCGAAAAATCCTCTCATACTGGTGTGGTGCGAGCTACTTATAAGTAGTATATGACGTGAGTGTCAACGTAATGTCTGGCAGCAGAAGATGGGAGAAGATCAAGAAAGGAAGAGTTAGAAGAACACAATGGAATTTGTATGAAACGCATGAATAGTGACAATGGACTGATGTTGTTTGCAACAGGAACAGTCCAGTTCGATATGATGAACTGATATTTTGCAAATGAACGATTTACGATATGGTTTTCCTATTTTACTGAGTAACTCTGTAATTTCCGTTAAATACAATCCGGCTGCCCCATCTGTGTTCTCCTTCACTACACAGGTATGAAGCGGCCTCCACAATGGTTCCAGGTTTCTTATGATAGTTTAACAATAATCAATTCATGCTTTCAATGAAATATTATTGTAGTACATTCCAGAAGTAGGATGAAACTCATTTGATTAATTATTTTTTAAAGTAATTTTAAAAAAATTGTTAAACATTTTCATCCTTTTTTTGCTTTATGCTTACCGTTTTAATTTTAAACAGAATACCGATTATTTCATTAAATAACTGCTCTACAATAGATCCATTTAACATTGAACAACATTTAACTTATTCAACAGAAACAGAGAATTATTCCATGGAAAATCCTACTAATGCAACATTCATTCAATTATCATCGAATAATAGTAATAATAATAATAGTGACAATAATCAAGAAATCAATGAATATCCTTGTTGTTCAACTTCTTATATAAAATTTCATTCAAAAAATGATTATTTTTCATCAAAATTTTATCATGATTCATTACAATATTACAACAACAACAACAACAACAGAAAATTGAATGATTTAACCGAGTTCGATGCATTCAATGAAGCATCACAGAATAATGTTTACTTGACCAGCACAAATTATTTACAATGTCATCATCATCATCATCAAAATAAAGAAGAATTATCACGACACTATGATATGAATACTGAAAAAATTCCAGAATTTCTACATGAATATAATACAATGTCATGTTTAATTTCTTCTAATCAATTAAATAATAATAATGATGAGAATGAGAATGATGATATTACATTATTGACTTCAAATGAATCATTATTAATATTAGATAAGGAGTGAGGAGGAGGAGGAGGAGGAGCCAATTTCAAAATCCATTATTGAACATAATTATATTGAACGACAATTCAATGATCAATTGTCACATAACACAAACACATTGAACACAAGTAATTTATATCCAATTCAAATGAATTGTCACTTTTTTTAATTGAGAAAAATAAGAAACAATTTTAATTTGATAATTTCGAATATTTAAGTAGACTTTAAGTAGACAAAACATGGTTTAATTGTTATTTGAATGCATTCCAATTAAAGTTTTAATCAAAATATACATACATGTATGTGTATAATTTACAAATGATAATTTTCCTAATTTATTTCATACATATATTCTGTACTTTTGTCTTGTTTTTTGTTTTCGTCTTGTACAAAAAAAATAGTTTTGAGTCGATCTCATCTTTTTAATTCACTGTACACACACAATTGAACATGTAACTGCTAATAAATTTTGATTTTGTTTAAAATAAATGCAAACATTTAATCACTTATTATTAATTGATAAGTTTTGATAGAATTCATTGTGGACGAGTGTACTGTGCAGTAGTGGTTCGCTCCGTGTTACTTTATGGTTGTGAAACATGGCCAATGAGAGTAGAATATATATTCATAGGTTACTGGTTTTTGGATCATAGGTGTCTTCGAAGAATTGCTTGTATATCGTGGGACACCCGAGTGAGCAACGCTGTTATTAGTAATCGGGTGCTAGGTAAGAATCGCAGATCAATAGATGAAGTAGTGACACTTCATCAGTTGAGGTGGTTGGGACATGTGTTGCGTATGCCTAACCACCGACTGCCTTGTCGAGCTTTGTTTTGTAGTGTAGGAATAGTTTGGAAGAAAGTTAGGGGCGGCCAAAACATGGCAGAAATCCATGAGTGGACTTAGCCATGTCGGTAATTGTCGACTACCTGGTTGGGGTCCGCGAGATGACAATAATCGATGGTTAGATACCCTGAATGACATGGCTCAAAACCGTTTGCAATGGCGCCGATGCATTTATTCCTTGTGTTCTCTCAAATCCTAATCTTCTGGATTCTTCAACACCACTAGTTTTGTCTGTATAAACTTTTCTCACTGAATTATACTTCTTGAATAATATATTCGAACCCTGATCTCTCCGATTACTTCTAATTCCCTTACTACCTCTTCTACTATTGGATTTGAATTGACAATTACATCTCTGTGCTGATGTGGTATGGCGACATGAACTGATGTACTTACGTACGAAGTTCTACGTTGCATCTGACTGACTGACTGACTGATTGTGGATAATATTATTATAAATACAACTGTTCATTAATTCATATTTATTCATGAATATATATATATATATATATATATATATATATATATATATTTATAAGCAGAGGTAGATAGTGACTAGCAGTGGAATTCAGGACATATGTTACTTCTTATCTGGGACTCATCAGCTGGATTTATTTGCTTCTGAGAGTTGATATACATTCAGGTACTCGAATCCATGACTGTTCACTTTAACTTTGAAATGAAGGTATATTTAGCTGGAAATACAAATAAATTAATAATCCTATAGTTGATAGTGAACAGTTTAGACAAAAGGAATTACACACGAAATGTTAATGAAAAGTTGTGCCATTTGGCGTTTAGCATATATATTCATTGAAATCATGAATCAATCAATGTTAGAGACAGCCATTAGAAACTTGGAATCACTGTATGACTGTTTGATCGTAGTCTGGGACTCTTCAGCAGTGTGCAAATCCATGAACCCTGCTCACAGGACTCAGACTCAGAACTTTCGGTCTCGCACGCGAACACCTAACCTCTAGACCACTGACTCGGCATCCAGCAGTATTAATGTCGAACTTTGACCAACCTAATGCTTTGTGCAACCTCACCCATTGTCTTCAATAGTTACTGCCTACAACCAACAGCGTTGAACTGCACTGATCACGTCTTCTCACTAGAGCTACGAAAATTTCCTGACGAAGCTAGTCACTAGTGAGCATATTGTATACTATTAAATAAAGAGTTATGGAGATTGTTGTTTTACATAGAATTCATGAATCGATCATTGTTAGACAGTAGCTACCAAAGACAATGGGTGAGGTTGCACAAAACCATAGATTGATTTAAGTTAAACATTAGCACTGTTGCGTGCATACTCAGTGGTCTTGAAGTTAAGCGTTCGCACGTGAGACTGAGAGTCCCGGGTTCGACTCCAGCGAGCAGGATTTGTGAATATGCTTTGCTGAAGAGTGCCATATTAGGACGAAATGGTTGTCCAGTAATTCCAAGTTTCTAACTGTGATCTAACTATAAATGATTCATGTTTTCATTGAAAACTAACAATCTACATAACTCTATGATGTTTAGCATATACGCCAAGTATAAGACAACTATTAGTTAGTTGGAAGTATCCGGTAGAAGACCAGTCGAAACGAGTCAGCATGGTGACAGGATTCAGTCAGCACTAATTATGATATTGGTCACAGTTAAAATGACTATTCAGTAAAAATACCGCGAACCTAACGGTTATCAGTTTCACTTCAAATAACTCAGTAATAATTTCTAAGTTCATGAAGCTATTTGACTCGGGTTCGAATCCACTAGGGAGAAAATATTCTTCCAAGACTGCAAGTACATCTCACTGACGAGCACCAACTAATGCAACCATTTAACATTAAAATATAATTCACTTGACATCAAGTCGTGTAAACTGATGATAATATTGTTGTAACTTTATTGATAACATTTAATCAGCAGCACTAAATGACTAAATAACCAAAACATTGTTCACTGATTAGTGGCCAATTTATTGCAAATTATACAGTTATCATAAATAGGATTAGATATGAAACTTTTGATATTGTGAATAAATCTAATTTAGAAGTAGAGATAAATGAATTCTGACTCAATGATCTAAAGGTACCATGTATCAACTCAAAGTTGATGATTCGGTTTGTAGTAAGAAATCATTGATGAAAAGTTTTAAACGAGAAATACAGCTAACTCTCTAGTACTCCTTTTCTTCAAATAATTCTCTGCTTAACATTAATAATACATGATGAGAAATTTTTCTAAACTAAAAAAAAAACTTTCAATAATTCCATAGTTTCATTTAATTATATTGAACACTGAACAATATTCGAAATTCAACAATGCATCATTACATCGATTGTTTACTGACTGACTATTCATAGTTTTTGTTGATATGAACAGAATAACAGGCATAAGTAAGTAGGCAAGTAATATCATCACTCTATCATTTTAAACGAAACAACAAAATTTTCCAATAATTCTAAAGTATAATTTATAATAAATAGTCTGTTAACAGTTATTAATATTGATGATACTATTGTAATGAAAGAAAACGTACAGATCAAATGGAATAAGCGATTTATCGAAAGAAGACACAGTTTATTAGTAAAATGTGTACACTTTATCTTCAGAGTTCCACTCGTAAAACAAGCAACTTCTTGCCTTTCTTCTTTCATACATCAACTATGCTTCAAAACACTTTGATCGCGCTATACATCTGGATCCGACACTCTTCATTTCAGCAGTAACTTCGCTGCATACTACCTAGACGCCAAGTTACGAGTAGTATTCATCGCAAAATGATGCATTAATCCCTTTAATATCTAAAATAGCTTCATATTACTGTACATGTATGTAGGGTTAGTGAAATATCACCGAGCTCTATCCAAATTACTTATCAGGCAGATTACTGAATGTTGGACAGTTTACCTGACCCCGTTCATATCAAGAGCAACCAACGTGGAGTAAGGACTTCCAGACTATTGACTAAGTCATACATCAATAAATTCAGTTGTTCTCTTTTTATTTAGATAAATTAATACTGTCAGTTGAATTTCATTGATCAGTTCATGATTTTAATGTAACATAAATATTGGTACAAAGAGGCACCAACATGCGCTACACATTAAAAAGATGAGATTGTGAAGAGATATAAAAAGGAGGGTACCAAAAATAAACGAACAATAAATGAATAGAAACAAATGAATGAATGAATGAGCAAAAAATTATGGGAGAAGCATTTCGGTTAAGAAATAAAGAACCTGACAAGATTCTTTCATTTAAAGAAATTCCTCTAATTTATATGAAGTAAGGGAAAATAACAGTAGGACCACAATGGACTTCTATTCTGAGCCATCAACGTCAAGTGTGATTTGATTGGTGCATGTTGTGTTGTATCGGAGAATCTTGCTTTTCCCTTTGTGTATATTGATACCTACTGCTACTGAAGTTGCTGCTACATCGGTCGTCTTCTCTCGCATTCGTTTTTGCGTGAGGGATAGATGAGCTAAATCATCTGCGAAGTCTAGATCGTTCAGTTGCATCCCAGATGTTCACAGTAAGACAAATCAATAATTGAAGAGTACTGCTGAAAACGGTCTGCACGAAGAAATACTGAGAGTTAAGATTCGGAAGAAAATACAAAATGAATCCCCTAGCCGAACTAGTAGCCAACTCTTAGCTATTTCATTCAATCTGCTCAAACATTGACTCCAAACATGAATCAGTAGTAATCAGTAAACTAATGGAAGTTAATTATTATTTGATGTTTTAATATAAATAAAAAATATTATTGAATTACAATGTAGATCTGTGGTTAGTTGCTTAAATCAGAATGAATGATTTAGGTTAAAGGATGAATACACACGAAAGCTGGATTGTTAGCGCATAGTCTCCAAATACAGGAATATCAAAAAAGTAGGACAAATTATCAACAAAATCGAACTGCCTTCTTCGCTAACACAACAGAATGTTTTCTCATACAAAATACCCAGCATGATTAAACACCACTTGAAACATAAATCACTATAGGATTCAAATTAGTAAAAGCTATGAAATTAATATCCGACTATATAAAATACTTACTTTTTGCCCATCACATATCTGTAGTACACATCGATTAAACAGAATGTAAAAGGTTTCTGAACAACAGTAATGATATCATTCATTTGTCAGCTGTTATGAGTTAACCAACCGACTAT